ATATATATATATATATATATATATATATATATATATATATATATATAAACAGCGTCTTTTATATCGGAGAGTTATTTTGATGGAATGGCCGATATTTCACTTTATCGCTAATATCGGCTGATACCAATACATGCCGATAATGTCGTGCATCCCTAGAAAAATTCCATAAATATGTCGCTTTGGCGTATAAGTCGCAGGGCATGCAAATTATGAAAAAACAAACGGCGACTTATAGGGCGAAAAGTACGATAAATTCTTTAAACGGGACACTCGAGAGAGGGAAGGACGGTTGTGCCAGATTTAGTCACTGGCGATTTTTTGTCTTAGTTCCTGTCAGGTAAAGCAGTTTCCCTGCAGATACTATGATAACAGTGAGTAAGAATAAAAAATAACTCATAAATAACATGGAACTCATGTTTTTTTGTCTCCATTTTCAGCTGTGTTATCTTCACGTTGACCTCATCAAGAAACTCAGTGCAAAAGAGACCAAAAAACAGTATGTGGAGTTCCACAACACCTTCCTGGACAAGGGCGCTGTAAGTAAAAAAAAATCACTGTATTTTTTTATAAAAGAAATGCGATGGTAATGAGAATGAATTACTGACAAAGCAGCAAAGACTATTACAAGACAAAATAAATAAAATACCAAAGCTAATGTTTTTGAACAGTAAAACACCTGTTTAGCATAACAATCAGACAATAATTCATAATATGTACAAAAGGCATATTGCATTTGTAAGCTTGTTTTGTTTTTATTGTGTTTTGACTGATATGTGATATTGACTCGTATCATGAAATTATCTGAGTTAACACAGTATGTGCGGCACATACCACCCTCCTTAATTTACATAAGCACACTTACGTGGCTTTGTAACTACTTCCGTTGCAGACATAATGGTACCAGGCCCAGTTTAACAGGTAATGTTCGATAAGGGCTATGGAAAATTATGTTCAAAGAAAATGAAAGGGGGGAAAAATGTACAAGGTAATTGGGAGGCATGACATGAAAAAATCTAATCTGAGCTGCAGTGATAACAAACAGAGCATGAAGCTCTGAAAAGTAGTCTGGCAACTGGTCCAGACTGGAATTAGAAGGGTGAAGGGTTCCAGTGAAAATCACAGTTTGTCTAACAGCTGAGAGTGTACACGACATTGCATAATGTCTAACTTGACGAATGGCTTCCTATAAAAATTAAAAATAAAACTACAATCTTCAATGTTACTGCATATTTTAGTCAAGTCAAATAAAGAAAAACTTGTTTGCTTTAACTGGAGTCTAATAATTCTGATTTGAACATGGACAGAAATACCACATGTGGTTTTTATTGTCTCAACTACAAAGCTTGGAGGTGGTTTTGTTGATACTCTGTTACATGACATATATAGATATTTAGGGACAATTACATTTATAGAAAGCACTGTAAAAAAATGTATTAAAATGCAAGCTAACAACCAGACTTTGGTTTAAACAAAACTTTGAGAATATGAATATTTTAGTATGATACTACACTACAGAGCATCACCAAGGTTATGTATTCCATCTGATTAGAATTCAGTCTGTCATCCAAAATAATAGTTTTCATGAAAACAGAACACTAAACAGATTAAAGTCATGTGTGTTTACTGTCAATTTAATATGAGAGGAAACACTGTCCTTTTTAAAAGTAATGCATTTGTTTAAAACAAACTGCTGTGTACTGCAAACTGCTCAGGTGTAATCCTTAAACAGTTCTGATAAGAGAGAAGGACACAGTGTGAACTCGGGTTGTTTGTATGAACTTTCTGTGTGTTTTTTTCAGTTTGCTCTGTTTTCAATCTGAGCTGCTCCACTCCGTCTCTGCATGTTTTGCTGCATCACTCCTCCCTGCACACCTGGCCTTTGTCACTCTCCTCTTACACCTCCCCATCAGACTCTCTTCATTCGGCGCTCACGTCCATCAGCTAATCCAGTTTCGTCCTGCACTCTTTCTCTTTCAGTCTGTCTTTAAAACGAACAACTTCCGTTCAGGACTGTGGGGAAAAAACCCACAGGAGGAATCATTCTGCCTCATTAAAAGAACAAAGTACCACCCCGCCCAAGTTTTTGTTTGTTTGTTTAATTTTTGTTTTGGGAGAAAAAACAATTAAAAACAGGAGATCAGAAGTAATGTAATATAATTATGTTATTCTAATTTAACATGCGCTTTCTAAAGAAAACGGTTAAAATATAATTTTAAATAAATAAATAAATGTTTCCTTGTGATCTCACTGACTTAAAGTTAACCTGTGTGGCTATTTTCCTGGCATTGATGAAATTATAATCTCCTTTTGCCTTTTTTATATTAAATAAATCAAATTAAATTAATTATAATCTCCTTTTGCCTTTTTCAAAACAGAAATCTGGTTCTTGTTTAGTCAGTTTTTATTTCTAGTGTTAAAATGACCCCTTGTGGAGATGGATAGTCCCTGCACCACGTTTTTCTTTACTTTGCAAAGATAGTAGTGTCCAGAAAGTAAAGACAAAGAGCTATATTTGATTAAACTTTATAATATTTACATAATGTTTTGAAGGTAAGAAAATAATACTTGTCAAAAATATTTTCTGAACCTACTTGTCTCTTGATTTGTTACAGATTCTCAGAGTGACTGTGACGCCTAATTTATCCAATGAGCTGGGTAAGGTATCTTCCAGTATTTTATGTTTGGACTTTTTTATTACAGTAAATACAAACTTAAAACCAGAATAATTAGGTTTTTTTTTTCATTATTATTATTATTATTGGGAAGTGATGCTCACTAACATTTTTCTCTCTTTTTTTTTAAAGACCGGACCCGCCCAGATTTGCTCTCAGATGATAACCAAAAACGTTTGGCTCACGAGGTTCAGGATCAGCAGATTTCTGAGATAATTAAACAGCTGGAAGACTTTAGGTAAGATTCTCCAATTCCAAATTTTTAGTTGTTTGTGTTTTGTTTTTGAGAATTATTGATCCATCATCTGAGAGGCTTCGGCTACGTTCACACTGAGTTATTGCTCAAATCTGATATATAATATGTTTTGCGGGATCATTCACATCATACCTTAAGTGTAACTGCCATCAGACTCCAGTGTGAATTTTCTATGATGCTGTCCACATGCGCAGAAGAAGACAGTAACACGCTGTGTTTAAAGAAATAAAGATAGATGCTACATGTGCGTATTGACTCCGAAGTCATTGTGCAATCGGAACCAATGGAATTATTATTCTGACATAACCGTTTGGTCCAGTGTTTATATTTGATCTTGGCTCTTTACGACTCCTCCAGCACAGCGTGGTATTGTGTTTGGATCAGGAGTGACATGCAGAAGGGAGAAACAAACTCAAAGATGTATCTCATAACATCTGTATTCATACAATCTGACACCAACGTTGGTATTACGTTGCTGTTGATTCTCACTCATCCAGGTAATGGCTAATTAAAGCAATTAAAAAGATGAAGCAAATAGACTTCTGTGCTGTAGATAACAACATACAGAGTTCCAAGATTAAAACTGCACAAGGTTATAATCATTATTATTACTTGGCTCGATCTACTTCATGTAAATGGATGACGTAGAATATGACTGTTCAGACTGTGGTCTCTTTGAAAAACATTGGTATGTATCTAGTTTAGAGCCACATATGAAAAAGACTTGTCACATTTGAAGAAGTCAGGTTTGTCACGTTCAGACTTGCATGAAAACATGGCTATATAAGTCACATATGAGTTAAAACAAACAACAGATTTAAACCGCTTTTCCCTGCTGAACAACTTCTTTGGCTCTGACTGACGCTGGGCTTACAAACTGTTTTTGGGACTTTCACACTTTGGTTGTAGCAGTCAGATCATTGTCACTAATGTGCCCAGATCTTGTCACCCTTAATATAACAAAATTACTTTTTTACACCACATTTTTGATTTGTACTTGGATAAATAAGACTTAATAAGAAAAACATTTAAATTTTCTTATTTTGGCTGTGATAGTCCTCTTTAACAACAATATGAGGCCAGTTTTCCTGCTGCACTGTAGACTGGTTAAGTATGATTAATACTTATAGCTTTCATGAAGACTTTGGTCAGTAAACACATTTTTAAAACTTTTTTTTGTGCAGTGTGTAACACTTGCAGCTCTAAGTACAATACATTTGTCATATACGTGTATATTAACCTGAAGATGCATTCTGTAAACATTACAGACATAAAGAAAATGTTAGAAGAGTTTCAAAAAAGGCTTTATCTGTATCGCATAGGTAAAATCAGTAGAGTAGTTATTTTCAATTTTCATTTTCATTTCAAGCATATTTAGTCAAAAATGAATGGGACAAGATCCTAAAATAAGACCACTATTGATTAAAATATTTTCAAACACCCCACAGTGCTTTTTCTGTGGACCCCAGAAAAATACAGAGAATGACAGAGTGCCGAGGAAAATAAAGGTGAAATAGTTTTATTTTAAAAGCAACTGTTCAAGTCATTTAGGATGGCAGCAATTTACTTGGTCTGGACTCTGCCTGGACTTGAAAGCTTGTCAGTCTGGTCGAAACAGCATTTTTTAACAACAGATGACATAGAAAGTACAGAATAGCACTCCATTAAATCAAAATTATTACTTTACGGGTTCCATCATAGCCAGACTTGCATATTGTTTAAATGCCATGCTTTTGTTATTATCTTTGAGACACTTTTCACACAACACCCTGCTTTGTGTTACTCAGGCAGAAGAGGATGATGGGTATGACCCTCAATGAGAATGAACTGATTGATGTCGAGAGCCACTATCCCACCGACCGAGTCCCGATGGAGATGAAAGAAAAATCTATGGCTGAGTACCTACTGGAGAGGATGTTTGAAACACAGTGAGTGACTTTCTCTTCTTATCAAGAGTTACTGAGAGCATAAAGCCTTCTCATTCTTCAAATCTTTATAATTATCTGCAAAGACATACAGTCGGGGCTCATCCTGCAGTTGCTGTGGCGACTAAATATTCCCCAAGTGCGAAACTGTTAAAGACTAGAAGTGAAAATACATAAATCTCTCTCTTACTTGTTCATCTACACGGTGGTAAAACAAGTTTTTATAGTTTCTGTTCTATCAAATTTGACATAAAACACAGGCAGGAGATAAAGTAGGAAATGTGTAAGACTAAGTCTAATGTGCTAATGAGCTAAAGAGACAACTAGGATGCACAAAGCTCCACAAGAAGGAAATAAAGATGGAAGCAGCAGTGCCACGTTGGCAGGAAGACTCCCCACTGGCATTTTGCCAGCATTCGGGTTTTGTATAGTGGGAGGTAAAACACTAGGAGAGATGGGAAACAAAAGTGCCAGAGGGTCATCAGTGCCGGATAGTTTTGGTTTTAAACACTGCAAAAGAAAAGGCAGCAGTAGATCTAGAGGAAAGTTAATCTATCTTTGACCCCACGTCTCACTCCAGCGCATTATCCTCTCCAAGAAACAAGACTGACAGAAAGGGAAAGGAGGCCAAGGAGAGGGCAGAAGACTGTCTAACTTAATTTGGTCTGCAAAGCAATAAAGAAGTGGAAAAGGAATGAGATGCACCGTGTGCTCTCTGCTATCATCATGTGAATACATCAACAATGATGGAGGACATAAGTCTGTACAAGTCTTTAGCAAAGACGTTATAATTAATTTAAGATTCTCTAAGATGCTGTCACAGAGTTGGATGTTTGTCTCCACTGCACAAATGATTCAGCCTCATCCTGTTTATTCCTGCTGGCAATCAACTTTTAGATTTATCCCCCTTTATCTCCATTGCCTTTAAAAATCTCATACACACAATCACACTTGCCTCTCCTTTCTTTGACCACAGCATAGTGACCTCATTTCCTCGTGCTGCTCATTGGTCTCTGTGCTGATGTAAAGAAGGTGATTGGACCGTTAGACTGAATGAAGGGAAATCCTTTGGAAACTCCTCCCCTTTCTTTATGTTAATCTCAAAACATGAGGGTCAGATTTCCACAGTCTTGCCTGCTTGTTGCATCAGACAAAAACATGGTTAAATAGATGTTTCCGCTGCACTGGAGCATTTCTGGCTCCTGATCCTGTTTGCAGACTTTTTTTTAACAGAGGATCTGGACCACATGTGAAAATCATGAAAATAAGCGTCCTTGAGGTCTACTGATGTAAACCAATCGCCGTGACGCAGGAAGCACAGCAGGGAAGCACGAGACAGCATCTTGAATCTGCATTTTTCTCAGATGCTTGCTTAGAGCCTGCAGGTCTAAGATCGCCCACATTCCACGGCTTCCTTTTGTTGGCCTGAGGAAATAACGTGAATAAAATCCCGCGTGGCTGCATTCATGAGGATTTAAACTTTTTTTTTTTCTAACAGCGAGGAAATCTCCTTTTGTAGGAAAGAGCAGCTTCTCCCTCTGCTTGTGACTGAATCACTCCTTTGAAACTGCACTTTTTTTTTTTTTCATTTACCATTTATTTATACAGGTAGTCTCATTGAGCCACGAGAACTCATTTTCAAGAGAGACCTGTTTTAGGGAGCAGATGGGGGTTAAGGGCCTTGCTCATGGGTCCAAAATGGGGCAAATGAGGATGGGGCAAATGTGGGTGCTTCACCTACCCCACCCACAATTTTGATGTTGTTGGGGCTGGGACGTGAACCGGCAATCTTCGGATCACAGGCCCACCTCTCTAACCTCTGCGCCACCACTCCCCCCATTGTAGACTATATCTTATATATACATTGCTGCCTGTATCTCCTTTTTTATAGTTTTTTGTTAAAACCCACTTGAAGTTTGTGTATTCTGCCCACATTTCTTCTTTCACTGTCAGACGGCTGGCCGGTCAGTCTGTCAAACACGAGACTTCCCTCTTGTACAGGGGTGTCCACACTTTTTCAGCATGCGAGCTACTTTTAAAATGATCAAGTCAAAGTGATCTACCTACTATAAAAATACAAAGCATATACTTATTTATAAAAAAATATTAAGTATTCTTTATTTGTACAATATAGGGGCCGAGATGGGGTAGAGGCAGGGCAGCCGACTCGAGACCCGAAAGTCCCAGGTTCGATCACCAGCCGTTCCCACATTTCGTGATGTCTCTGAGCAAGACGTGTAATCCCTAATTGCTCCCGAGGCGCCTACAGAGCTTCCCACTGCTCCACCTGGTATATCCCAGCTGCGATAGGTTAAATGCAGAGAACAAATTTTATTATTGTATGGAAACATACAATTATGACAACACATAGCACTTAGTTTCTTAGTTATGTGTTGATATAGATTGCATAACTGCATGAACCTATATTGTGCAATACAACTCTGTACATTTTTTGTCATTACCTTACTCTGATGACTTGGCACTGAATGGAATCAACCAGGGATGCATAGTCCAGACAGTAGCTGCTGATAGCCAGCCTCAAGCAAACTTCCAAATGATCATCAGTCATGGTGGAACAGTATTCGGATTTAATAATCTTCATGTGGGAAAAGGCTGACTCGCATAAATACGTGGAGTCGAATAATGCAGTCAAGGAGATAACACATTTCCTCATGTTGGGGCACTTTTCCTCTTTGAGTAAATTCCAGAACTGTCCATGAGTCCTGGACTTAAGCTGAATATCAGTTTGTAGTGTCAAAATCTCATCCTCCGCTCCTGAAAAGTTTAGTTGAAATACTGTTTCAATCTTTGATACAAGTGAAGCAACCTCAGCATCTTCCTGAAAAGGGTAGTCAAGTCGAGTCAACTTTATTTATTGAGCACATTTAAAACAGAAACTGTTATCAAAATGCTTAACAATAACATCAGTGGGAGTAAAATTAATGGAAAAAATAAACGCCACACACTAATGATAATACTGAAGAGCTGCTCATTTTTTGACTAACACGTAAATATGAACATATCACTCCTGTCTTTTCTTCTTTGCACTGGCTCCCGGTTCAGTTTAGGACACAGTTCAAGCTGCTACTGTTTGTTTTTAAAGCTTTGAATGGCCTTGCACCACCTTATGTTTCAGAACTTTTGAAAGTCCACCAGCCCAACAGAGCTTTACGGTCTGCTGGTCAAAATCTGCTGGTGGTGCCACACTCAAGGTGCAAACAATGGGGGGACCGGTCCTTTTCTGTTGCAGGCCCAACAGCCTGGAATACTCTTCCCTATGAGCTGCGTGCCATTTCTGATCTAGTTCTGTTCAAAGCCAAACTGAAAACATACTTATTTAAAAGGGCTTTTAATGTTTAACTATTAGTATTTTAGTATTTAGTATTTATTTGTTTATTTTATCTCTTTTACCTTCTTTTATTCTCGCTGTGTTTTTAATTTGCACTGATTTATTGTGTCCTGTTTTTAATCTTGTTTTATCTTGTAAAGCACCTTGGTCAATGCAAGGCATTGTTGGAAGGTGTAATAGAAATAAAGTTTATTATTATTATTATTATTATTATTATTATTAAAAAGCATTTAAAACATAGGAACGTTGATCAAAAAACACTAAATCAACTCGCACTGTGTGAAATGCCTGCGAGAAAAGATGTGTTTTTATCCGAGATTTGAACTCAGGAAGGGAGGTGGCCTGCTTAATGTTGGGGGTCAGGTTATTTCAGAGTTTGGGATCCATGACTGAAAATGTCCAATCTCCTCTGAGCTTCAATCTTGTTTTAGGAACAGCCAAAAGCAGCTGATCGGATGATCTCAGGACCCGAGAGGGAACGTATGGTTCCAGTAGCTCTGAGAGGTAAAGGGGTGCAAGGCCATTTAGGCACTTGAAGGTCAACAGAAGAATTTTAAAGCCTATTCTAGTAAGCACAGGGAGCCAGTGAAGGAGGACAGAACTGCTGTAATATGTTCAAACCTACAAGTTCTGGTTACAAGCCCAGCAGCAGTATTCTGGATGAGCTGGAGACGTGAGATGGAGGCCTGGCTGACCCCAGCATAGAGTGCATTGTGGTAGTCCAATCAGTTCATGACAAAGGCATGGACTAGTTTCTCAAGGTCAGGTCTGGACAAAACTGGCCTGAGCTTAGCTACCTGTCTTAATTGGAAGAAGCTTTTCTGCAGAACAGAGTTGATTTGTTTGTCAAACTTGAAATCAAAGTCTAAAACCATCACATTCCGAGATTTTTATCAGACTGTTTAAGATATGGCTGAAGAGGGTTCAGGTTGACAGGATCAGAGGCGGCAGTTGAGCTAGGGCTAAAGACAAATGATTTCAGTCTTATCATCGTTAAAACTTATGAAGGGTAGCACATGAATGTTGATGGGCTCCAGTAAAACAAAGTCTTGAAAGCGTTTGTCTAACTCTGACAGACAGTTCTCATTCTGCTCTGTGCAGCGTGCACCGTCAAGTTGCACACCTGCCTTCCCTTGCGTCTCCAGCTCTGACGTGAGGTTCTTGGAAGTTTGCCAAATCGTGGCACTGCAGCTTTAAGAAGAGATGTTGCACTGAGCTGATCATATCGATCACGGTTTTCTCTTTTCCTTGCAGCTCTACATTAAGGTAATTCTACATGTTGGTCAGATTGACTAAAAATGCTAAATTGGAGGCTAACTGGGCAACTCTGTAGCTTGCTAGTTTTTTGCGCGGTTTTATGCACATGCGTGGTGGTGATCCATGTGTCAGAGAAGGTCAGGTCTCAGATTGGCAGCCCTGTATGTCAATCAAGTGACAAATTTCATCGTGAGGATGGATGATAGACTGACGTCTTATTTTTTTATTCCATTCGATCTACTCATATTACCTTTGCGATCGACCGGTAGATCAGGATTGACGTATTGGGCACCACTGCTCTACTGGCACTTGATCGAGATGCGCATCTACTTCCATTGTGCATGCAAATGGACTTCAGTTTGTGCAGGACTTTATTTCTGGGAGAGGTCTCTCTCCCAAAGGACCGAACCCCCAAGTGGGTGTATGTTCATATTTTTCAACATTTTTAACGGCGCCCTCGACTTGTAGCCTGGATGCGACAATTTGTGAGCATTTATTTATTTTTGACAGAAGATAAATGTGCTTGTGTGACACTGCTTCTGTAATTTTGTGACTGAAAGTGGGGGGGGCAAGTGGGCCGCTGCCTGATCAATGGCTTGGCACTGGGGAGGCAGGGCTGAGGTTGTGAAGGCAAATGTGCGTGTCTGGGGAGATGCAGCTACAGAGACTCTGCTCCATCATTTCAGATGGCAATGGATCAACAGCCTTGAGTATGTTGCCCCAACTTAGTTCCAGCTTCTAGTTCAGTAACCTGTGAACCTGGCGGTTAAGGTCCTGCTTGGTACTTGTTGAAGCATCACTGGGTTGCTACTGGACAATGTCAACTGACGGGCCAGACTGTGACAAAGCACACCGTGGGAGAACCACACTTTGGGTGGGTGTCCCAATCTAAAAATGTATTGCCACGTGGGCAGGTGTCTGCCTGTGGGCTCTTCTCGGGTTTTGTGGAATCCCTAACCATCTTCATGTTCCAGGGAGATTCGTCTGTAAAGCTATGTGTAGCAGGTGACAGCTAAGCTAATCAGCTGTGGCTAGGCTAGGGGGAGCATTGCTGCCTCCCAGTGGGTAGCTTGAACTGCAGGAGTATGGGAACAGCCAACACATGGCAAGAGATGCAGTAATTCACTTAAAAATATGTATATAATTTTCTTTTTAAATAAAGTATTTCTATTTTCTTATTGATACTGCTAACAATGAACAGATATTCTATTTGAAAATTTTAGAATATGATAAAAAGCTTCAACACGCACAGTAATCTGCTTCTAGCTGGATCAAGAAAAGCTTAGTCACTTTAGATTCCATCCATCCATCCATTCTTTTACTCGCTTCTTCCTTTTTCGGTCGCGGGGGTCATTGACGCCCTTATCCAGTGGTCACCGTGTGAGAGGTGGGGTACACCCTGGACAGGTTTCCAGTCCACCCCAGGGCCACATAGAGACAAACAACCTTTTACTCTCTCAGGCACACCTAGGGACCCACCCAAAACAAAGACTGTAATCAAATGAGTGAAAGAAAAATGCTTCTTCAAAGAAAGAGGTTTTGTCTGCGCCGTGAGTTAACGGTTCATGTTCTTCTTTTGTAGAAACATCACTGGTAACTGTATTTGTCCCTTTTTGTTTTAGATTTCAAGTTGTCTTGGACGAGGAGAAATGGTGAGTTACACTAGCTCCAAATGTTCTCACAGTGTTATTTTTTTAAGTTTCTTCATGTGGTGGACTTGATCTCCGCATATTTAGCCTGACTTTTCTATACTGATAAGTCAAATGCACATACAACATTGCTATTTCTGGTAAAATGAACAAAGGTATGTGTTTTGTTTTGTTTCTTTGTTTTGTGTTATTTAGTATGAATTATTTAAAGTAATTTAAGATGCTTTATCAGGTTAAGATTTAATAATTTTCTGCTATAAATTTCACAACAGAAATTATTAGATCCAGATATGCATGTTTTTGGGCACTTTTATCAGAGTTTATTCTTTTACGTTGTTATTGTAATGCAGATAGAACGATCAGTAAAACTGTGGGAGTTTGTAATGTGAAGGTCTTCTGCTGCATTATCATCCCTGGTGTCTCTTCCTTTTATAACCCATTATCTTTTAAACTCCTCATTTGTCTGTTATTTTCGTTTCCTCTCACTATTTTTAGCTCCTCCTCTTCCTCCTCTGGATAATACTGCTCCTCCTCCTCCTTTTCTTCTGCATGAGTTTATCTTTTTATCCTCATACTCCTTTTATATTTGCTTTAAGATTTTTTTTCTTTTGACATTCTGCAAGTAAACCTTTTTGCACATTATAATGCTTTCTATGCAGCTTTTAATGTAAAATAGGAATTAGCTAGATACTTTGTTTCTCAAGCTTGACTGAGCTTTTAAACAAGTTTAAGAAAAAAAAATCAAATTTTTTTGTAAATATGTGATTATAAACCTGAATTAAATTTTACCGTAACACCTGCATATTACATTTTCTCCTAGCCAAGCCATCTTTACTGCAGTTGCTGTCTACATGAAGCACCTTGGAATTAAATCCAAGTCTGTCGATAGTAAAAAGTCCAGACGGGGTTTCTTTGGATTACCTATAAAGGTAAACATCATCAGTGCAGAAGGACAGCATCTCTGTCCTGTTCAATAAATTAAAATAAGCATTTTTTTTTTGCAAACCTTAAATCAGATTTTAAATTTACTGCTTTTGTGTTGTCATTCCAGGTTATAAAGGATGGCTCTAGGAACAAAACCGGCCCGTTTCATAAAGGAAAGAAACTACCAAACTGTATGAATAAAATACTTTTTCTCATTATAAACATAATTTATAATCATTATATATTAATGTTTATCATTTCTTATAATTTTAAATCATCTACAACTTGTAAATATACAAATCTTTGATATTTTGTAAATTAACGACACATTTTAAAAGTTGAATTTTGTAGTAGTTCTTACATATAAATGTTTATGAAAACATGTCCTGCCCTTCTTTCCTTTTGCAGCTGAACCCGGACCAAAAACGGAGCCTATAGGTACTCTTTGTTCGGAGACCATCTGTAGAATGATTACCTCCCTACTAATCAAACCAAATGCATGTGTGCATGTTCTAAATCAAACTGGGAGAAGATGTTTGTGGGGCATCGTTCAGCTGACTTTGTTGTGGGAGGATGGATGGATGGGTGGATAATTAACTGTAGTGTCCAAGTAATTACCTTGTACTGAACTTACCCTCTCATCTACTGCAGAGGCTCCTGTTTCCACCATACTTACCTAAACCCTTCTTCTATCTCACAATGGGTTCTGACTGATGTTGTTTTGGGGTCATTGTTTCTTTTAAATCTGCAGTTACATTTTTTTAATAGATGTGTTGTGTTTAAAAATGTCTCATTTCTCTTCTTCAGGCAATACTTCAAGCAGAGGCTCCGTGAGTGAAAATACAGTCCTTACCCCCGTCAAAGTGTCTGGTGGCAGCGTAGGTCCGAGCCCAGTATCTGACGCAGAGAATCCTGACGGGTCAGGCAGTAAAAACGGTACTGCCTCCAACTCGGAGCCCCTTCAGCCCGAGGGTAAAACTGCACAATCACACTGATAAATAATAAATTTAAAATGCTAGAAACAATTAAGTACAAATGTTTATTAGGGTTTCTATGGCATCAATTACATCTGTAGTTGTTTACTTTATTTTAAAGTCTATTCGGTTGTTCTTAAAAAAAATCATAAATCAAACTGTTTTGGTGAGATTTGTGGGAAATTTCTGTGGAATCAGAAATTAAATATTATATTTACAAAGAAGATGAATTGTGAATGACGTTGATTAAAAGGTTGTGACAACCCAAGAACCCAGCGTCTGCCATGTCTGTCAATTTATCATTTATTTAACCTGAAGTGGAAATGGAACAATATATGGCAAAGAATATGATGGAGATATATCCAAATATGTGCAATAATTAAAAAACAAAACGCTTAGAGGTCACAATGGTGAAGTAGTTCTTGGTATAGTTGACCTCTTGTGCAAACTTGTTTTTTTCAAGTCTTCTTTGATAATCAGACAAAACCTATCTTTATGTTTGCAAACTCATAGTTTTCTCTATATCAGAAAAATATTCCAGACGTCATATTTTATCACATATGCCGTATTTTGTATAATTATTTTCAGATTAGCTATTATCCGCTGTGCTCAATCTTTAATAATAATAATAATAATATCACAATGTCAGCACTGTATGTTTCCATACAATGGCAAAATTAGTCTCTGCATTTAATCCATCCACCACCAGGTGGTGCAGTGGCAGCTATTGAAAGCACCCCGGGGGGCATTTTGGGGATGAGGTGTGCTGCCCAGAGACACCACGTGATATGCAGTGACTGGGGATCGAGCCTGGGACTTTCGGGTCCCAAGCCGGCTGCCCTGCCTCTACACCATCTCGGCCCCCGAGTGTAGTATTTATGTACTTGAACACAATCTTTGAAATTTTTTGTTTGTTTGTTTTATTTGGGCTTACGTGATTTTCTTGTCTTTTGTTTATTAAAAAATAACTAAGGTTATAAGTTATAATTTGCATATGGAAAAATATTTTCCTTCTCTTACAGGCCCATCAAGCAATCGCCCAGAGCCTCAGACTGTGCCGGACAGCGTTGTTGTGTCTCCTAGGCCGGGAGCAGAGCTTACCATTGTGGAGCCCACCTCACCAAATGAACCCCCCTCAGTGGAGTCTTTGGAGACCGACAGGTGAGAACACCGGGGATGTTGATGAAAAGAGCATCCTCTGGTGGAGTGCAAACCTTGGCATTATGGATCACTAAAGATTAAGGATCAGATTATAATGCGTGACCACGGGAAAGTGGGGGCAAGCAAAATGTGCCTGAACTGTGCAAGTTGAGGGAGCGTGGTAAAACTCCCCCAGCAGTCTGTCCCTGCTGTGTGCTAGCTTTTGTTCTGCCTCCCGTCGCTCGCTAGCTAACAGAGCCTGCAGCATTTTAAGGAAGACCCTCACCAGGTGAACATGGACTCAGCCCCTCTGCCTTCCCTTTCCCTTATTTCCTTGTTTTTCCTCGTCATCATAATCATGTTCACTTTCCCTGCTGTCATTCTGTCCTTCCTGTTTTTGTCCTGATTCGTCTCATTTTTACATCAGAGCTTCATTGCATTTTTTTGTTTGCAACATTTTGATCAGTTACCTTATTTTCATTGCACTCTGGTAAATTATAGCCGTACACTAAACACATTTTCCTTTATGCTGATTCATTTGTTAATGTTCCAAATCTGCATCTTTTTAGTAAATTAACAGGTTTGGATGTTTAGCCAAACTGTGAACATTTTGTATAGTTCTTAAAAAGGCAAGAAATCTTCATGCTGTATTGATCATTTTAGCAGCCAACAGTGAGCATCACATCTAGTTCAGATTATTAGCTGCTCAATCTATGTGCTTTTTAAGGTGTCTATGCCCGCCGTGGTCAGGGTCCGTCCTTCGTCTTGCTTGTCTTCCCCAGTTTGTGTGGTTACATGTTATAGCAGAAGCTTTAGCGCCATATGTGGCATGCAGCTCGGACAGTGGTCTAATAATAGCACATTTAGGGTCTCACTTTGGGGTGGTGCACATGCATGTTATGGTTGTCACTGTGGCTGACGACAGTTGTGTAAAGGGGAGTGTGTAACAACTGTGGTGTCCCCTGTTTTTGCAGACGGAAGACAAGGTGGGTGTCAGCGCCCTGACAGAGTCACGGACTTGCTTCAGGCCTTATTCTGTTCACATATGATGCAAACACAGCAGAGCACTCACATGCATACACACCTCACAGTGAGCCTTGTGTTCCTGTTATGATCCAACACAAACTGGCTAAGTATTTTTAAAACTGCTTGTGAAGGGATTAGCCTTACTGTTGAGACCAGTTGGTTTCATAATAGCTGATGTGTTTGCAAATTGTAGGGAAGTGAAGAATGGTTGAGACAAAAGACGTATTGTTGCCTAACTGATCGTTACTGCAGCGTAGTGAGATTTGTAGACACAATGCATGGCTGCTTAACAGACTCATGTTGAGTGGCATTCAAATGCTTCTGTGTATAAACATACTTTGTTTGTTTAACCATTATATTGTATGCATGTTATACGTCATACATATTTACTTTTCATTCAGTTTCTTTTATCTGTATTCTGTAACTGGCATAACTAATTCATCATATTCACCTTCATGATAATCTCAGATCTCATCCTCAATATTTGCATGTTTTTGTTTTTTTCTCTCTATTATTTCAATATTTTTGTGTTTTCATTGCCTTTCGGAATCTTCTATCTGTTCTCCTTTCTCTCTTTTTCTTCTTTATGTTTGTTCTGTCTGGTACTCCCCCCCCCACCACCACCACCTCTTCTTCCATTACTTTCTGTCCATTCTTTCTTTCTCCTTTTCCTGCTCCCCCCATCCACCTCCCCTCCCTTCAGTAGGAAAGTGGCACGCAGTGAGAGCGCCCGCGTGGACCGCCATTCGTCACGGCGTCGCGGCTCTTCTCGGGCCAAACAGTCCCGCTCCCGAAGTGACGTTGACCTGCAGCCGCCTCCTTGTACAACGCCTGCCCCACTCTCCCCCCAGCACCTCCACCCGTAAGCTGGGCAAACCGCCTTCTAATGGCTCTCTGGCTGGAGAAGTGCACAGCAGGGACAGACAGAATGCCATGTACTTGTAGATGAAACAAAATATTCATTATAGTTGTTTTAATTCATTTTTAGTTATATTTGTAATTTACTTGGACAGTCCAAATTATTTTTAAAGGTATATGTTTGTCTTTTTTTTTTTGTTTGCTTGTTTTATTAAAAAAAAAAACTAAGCAAAAAATAAAAAATTTTAACTTATTGTTGACACATCCTAAGGTACTGAAACAGAATAAACTGAACTTGTATTTGTTTTTGTTGAGTTAGGACAGTATACGCTGATAAATGCCATGTCAGCCCATAATTAAAAGTTTAAATTTAGCCTAACCTTAAAACTTCCCACAGTCAGTTGCACATCAGATATTACAGAAGTCCAAGTAGACTAACAGGTCATCTTCAGTCAAGAACTAATTTTGTTTATCTAGTTTGCACTCAACATCCAATGTGTGCATGTAACATCTGCACCTTCTCCTCATGTAACAGTGTCACATTGTACGAAAACATCTCCCCTTTAGCAAAGTTCTTTGTCCCCTGTCACGGAACGAAGAGGGGGAATTGGAAATACCCTCTTTCTGTCTGTCCATGGATATTTTGAGCGTGATAACTTTAACAAATTGTGAGGTATCGACTTCCATTTTGGTGTGAGGCTACATTTAGGTGAAAGAACAGTTCCTTTAAAAAAAATGGGTTGCCACGGCAAAATCCAAGATGGCTGCCACCGTAAATGCAATTTTTTAAAATGTTTTTTAAATTTATTTTTAAAATGCAACATTAAATGCATAACCATAACCATAAATGCAAACATAAATATATATTAACCTTGTGAGCTGGACATCTTGAAGAGTAAGCTACGTGTCGACTTCCATTTTGGTTACATCTAAGCGTAAGAAAGGTCACTATCAAATATCGGGTTGCTGCATCAAAATACAAGATGGCCACCGCCATACAGTGGTTGTTGAAAGTTTGTGAACATTTTAGAATTTTCTATATTTCTTCATAAATATGACTTAAAACATCATTTTATTTAAAAAGCGCCTTTCATGACACCCAAGGACACTTTACAGTAAGAACAAAGATCAACAGGAATAAATTACATAAAGAATATAAAATACATAAAGAATATAAAATGCATAAAGAATATAAAATACATACAGAAAAGTTAAGGATAAGCGAGTCTAAGATGTGTTTTCAGAGCAGTCTTGAATATAGAAAGAGAGGTGGTTTTTCTTAAGTCAGGGGGTAGAGAGTTCCAGAGATGAGGGGCAGAGCATGTGAAGGCCCTGCTCCCCATGGTGGAGAGGCGGGCAGAGGGTACATGGAGGTGTAGTGAAGAGGAGGATCTGAGAGAGCGAGAGGGGATGGAGATGTGTAGGAGGTCAGACGCACCAGACACTGAAAGCAAATGTTCATGTACTTTTACCACTCACAAATATGTAATATTGGATCCTTTTCCTCAATAAATAAATGACTAAGTATAATATTCTTGACTCACTTAAAAAAGTAGGTAAAGAGAACCCAGTTAGAAACTACAAACTTTCACTATTCAAGTCTCTCAGCTATGGGGGACATCTGCTTACTGGTTGTTGATGTAAGCTAAGCATGGTCAATGTAATTTAAACCCGATAGATGTTTTTCATCTGGAATGAAAATGTGCAGCTGTTAGATTATTTAAAGGACTATTTTTTTTCTGCATAGCCTCGCAATTTTTTATTTTTATTTTTTTGATGACTGGCTTTCCTAAATTAGACGATTTTTATATTCTTGGGATTTTTCCCCAAATGTTTTATGTTGAAATGTTGAAGTTTGTTCTAGAGTAGCTCATTGCCTGTGTATGACTGTAAATGATCCAGTAGGTATGGTGCTTGGTAACTTACTATTTTTGGCATGAAATATAAAATGTAAATATATAAATATAAAAATAGCATCAACACTAGTAATAAAAAGTGGCCTATTTGCTAGATTTTTTTTGTTTAGCTTTTACTAAAATGGTGTTACTTGTTTACATTTTTATAGACCAGCTTTTTTTTATTTTTATAAAAATCTCCAATAATTCAGCAATAAGTTGTGTTGCTTTTTTAGCACTGCCTATTTTCTACATGGTTAAAAAAGGTAATCATTATAACCTAATTCTTCTCATCTACATTAGTTCTGAGGGGCTAGCTTTAGCTCGTGACAGCTCCAGCCAGTCGCCCACCAGTCCCTCCCCACAGCTAGAGGAGATAGACCCACGTCTCCTGGAGTTTGAGCAGGATCCACCCAACTGGAGGGAGCTGGCCCCTCCTGATGCTTTAAAGAACCTCAGCAAAAAGGAGATCAAGAGACAGGAAGTTATAAATGGTGAGGATGAGCAAGATAACAGAAATGGAAAGAAACGTTGATTTCTATATAGATTTGTTTGAATGTTCTGCAACTTTCATTTTTCTTCTTAGAACTGTTTACAACAGAACACGCTCATGTGCGAATGCTGAGCGTTCTTCAGATGGTGTTCGTCAAGCCGTTGGAAAGGGAGGCGTTCATGGCCTCTTTGGAGCTTGATGCCATTTTTCCCGGCCTTGATGAGATGCTTGAAGAGCACTGTGAGTGCTGCATTTTAACTGTGTTTTTCTATTCATCCTGTTTTACACCTGAATGTTACTTATTCAGTAAAGATTCATGTGACATATGAACCATTTGCAATAAAAACTGATAGCTAAATGGGCCACAAGTGCAGATTAAATAAAATATAACTTTTAATAATAATGTGAATTTGCATTTGTGGTCTGTAGTGTTATTTATATATATATATATATATATATATATATATATATATATATATATATATATATATATGCTATATAATTGCATCTGACACACTTGAACTTTTCTTCTAAATTTCAGGTAAGTTTTATGAAAACCTGAAGAAGTTGCGTATAGATGACAACTATATAGTTAAACACATCAGCCCCACATTGCTCAACAGAGTAAGTTGATTTTTTTCTTCAACTTTTTTCTTTAAAGGATGTACCCAAGTGATAATGTACTAACCAATAACAGATTTTGATACAAACAATGTATGGTTCACTGCCCAGGAGCAACATTTTATGAGGGGCGGTATGAGCGCTCTGACATTTGCACCCTGAACTGTTTTCTTTTATTGTGTGTCCTTTCAATTTGTGGAGCTGAGTTAATTGGGAAAGTGGGTGCTGTCTTTATTGTGCTGCACCTTTGTTGCTGTGGAGGTGTCACTGAGGGAGGGGGTCAGAGGATAGGTTAATCTCAGGCAGGGTCATGCGGTCAGAAAGGCAGAACTTTTCCTGTAATTATGAAAAGTAAACCAAATAAATAAAATGAAAACATATTTTTGTTTGTTTGTGAGAGAAGAGATAATTCTATTCCAATCATTGTAATCATTAATCACCGGACTGGCAAATCTATGCCAAAAAAACCTGACTTGTACACTTTTTCTGTTCAAACAGGAGCTGACCCTTGTATGGCAAGCCGTTGTAAACTATAATCAAATCCCACTCTTCCTTTAGATTTAAATATAAATAATAGTTTTCTCCTTAAAAAACTAATATTCTTTTAGCATTAGAATTTAAATGTAAAATGTCCACTATCTTATTATTAATAATATAAATCAAAAATATCTACAGTTTTAATTGTAGGCTACCAACAGTAAAAAAAATAAAAGCATCTAAAATCTTTATTAACATTTAGTTACCTTTTAAAAAGTTGGATAGGTGTTCCAGATATTTACAATTCAATTCTACCTGGTCAAAATAAACACTTTAAATATTCAGAATTATATTCTTCATATCAGCATTTGACCTGATTTAACATCATTAAATCTAAGATAAATTATTTCATTTTTCTTCATCTGTGTTGAGTTTCTATCAGCAGAGATCCACAAGTCCATATTTCTTGTCTAGAATGAGCATTGTTGACGGAATGATAATTCTTATTTATAGAACCTTGTGTTTTAGATATTTAAAATCACTTTTGGTAGTCACAAGTTTTATTCTAAAGATCTAAAAATGTTGTTTATGTCACTGTTATATCTAAAAATGAGTTTCTTTTCTTTCTTTTTTTTAATTAATGGAGCGGCAGCGGTGTTAGCAGTTAAAGTGTTCACCTCAAGGGTGAGCAGTTGGGTTGGAGAGAGAGGTTTGTGTCTGGGGGGTGTAAAGGTGATGAAGGTGTGCACCAAAGTGCAAGCTCCCCTAGGGCACAATTTGTGCTAAAACAGCTACGAGTGCTGACTGTGTAATGTAACATTTATAGAGTTTACTGGTTTGTATGACTATGTTTTGCTTTTACCCAGCACCACACAATTGTAACTGTACATATTTGTGTTTAAGTTTGACGGAGCAGAAGGAGAATGGTTTCGGAAACTGACAGCCCGGTTCAGCAGTCACCAGACGTGGGCTCTGGAGCAAATCAAGAGCAGGCAGAAGAAGGAACCACGCTTTAACGCTTTCATACAGGTATTAACACAGACCCAGAAGCAGACTCCAGAATAAATTAAAAAGATTTAACAAATGGATGTATTCACTGACGCAAGAAAGCACGGGAGTGGCATCGTTCTGACCCTGTTTGTGTGTCAATCTCAGGAGGCAGAAAGTAAACCTCAGTGCCGCAGACTGCAGCTCAAGGACATTATTCCCACAGAGATGCAGAGGCTCACAAAGTATCCGCTGCTGCTGGAGAATATCGCCAAGAACACAGGTATGTGTGTTTATTACAATAGTCTTTTTGCTGTTTGTGTCAGTCTTTGCTGAAATAATTAATACTACTGGTGATTTATTGGGTGTTATTATTTATAACTAAAGCAATTAGAATTTAGGTGCTCAGAATGGGAAACATTTTTTGCAATAATATTCTGTGCAGTATTATTTTTTCAAAATGTAAAATTTGTACGTAAATGGAAATTGGGAGTTTAAAATTAATCGTACTTGTGCATACACTGTTCTGTGAATATAGTAACAATAAAAATTGTAGCATAGCTGCCTCACATGGTAACGTTAAAGCTCAATTCCATAAATAACTTCTTACCCAAAGGGCTTTAAAAAAAAATAAAAAATTATGTGTAATGCACAATTTGTTTGTTTGAACCTTATTAAAACCTCTGAACCATTTAAAGAACAACAAGAAAAGAATTTTGGATTTATTCAGCAACAAAGTTTTACTCTTTAATCTTGATTTATTTTATTTAATCTTCTTTAAATATAAGATTAAAAAGGAAAATGTCAAGAGGATAGGTGTTGCTAATTATTTGCTACAATCACTTAATTGGAGAGCTGTTATCAGCATATTAGTATTTTAAATATTTTACAAATAAATGTCAAAACAATATTTGTTAATAATTAAACTATTTAGTTTTTAATTTCTTGTAGAAGTTCTGTAGAAATAATGTGGAATAATGATGGAAAAACAGGTAAGATTCTCTGTAATTTTGATATAACTGATTGAAAAATAAATGTCTTCATTACTTTTTATTTCTAAAGTAATTAAAATCAAATCGAATTTCATAGTAGACCTACTAATGACCCTTCATAGCATAACTCATCTCAATTGTGTAAAAATGCTGCACACTAATTTAGAAAATCACATATTTTAAGTTAATAATAGAAACCAATAACTCAGTTTTAGTTACAAATGTTGTAATGTTGTAATGTTGTAACAAATGTTGCTCTTGATTGTTTTTCTTTTTCGCTAAAAGCTGCACAAAAATGCAAAGACGAATATTTTAAACAATGTTTTTTTTTATCATTATCTAACAATTGGGATGTGAGACAATCCATCTTCACAATGTATTTAAACAGTGGATAAATATATATCCACTGAGTGTTGTTTTATTTTTAGCTTTGTGTTTGTTGCCTTTTCACAGAGGACCCCAAAGAGAAGGAGAGAATCCAGGAGAGTGCAGAGTGCTGCAAAAAGATCCTCAACCATGTCAATGAAGAGGTCAAAAATGTGGGCAACATGTTGGTAAGAAACACCAACTCCAGCTCTCAACGAACTGTGATGCACTTACTGAGCATCAGGTGGAGTCTTTTGAAGCTCCCTGCTCTTAGACTCCTGCTGCTTCAATGCTGAGCTCATCAAATGACCGTCTGACTGCCCTGTTTGTTTTCCTCTGCTCCCAGTCTCTAAAGGAATACCAGAAGAAACTGGACACATCAGGACTCAAACCCATGAATGACCTTTATACTGAATATAAGGTGTTTTTATTACAGCCAAGTGCTCCACATTATTAGTTGGTCTTGGTTTTTTTATTGCATGATTCTCTCATCACTTTCTTCTATTTTAGAATATTGACTTGACTCAGAGGAAGATGCTTAATGAAGGTCCACTAATCTGGAGAGTCACCAAGGAGAAGACTATTGGTAAATCTATGTACACTTGTGTGCATTTTTAGTACAAAAAGTTCAAAATATTTATAACATTTCAGAGTCGTTGATTAATATCTTAAAAGATATTTGTGGTGAAATTGTCTGGCTTGGTCAGTTCACTCGACTGACGTGGGGGGAAACACTTAAATAAGCTTTTATTTTAGGATAAATTGGTGTTGTTTCTTTTTCATTTCCTTTTTTTTTTACCCAGCTGTCCTGCATCTGTCTGAGTTTGACTTCCCCTCTTTTGTCAGTGATGTTTGTAGTGCAATATAAATGTTTCAGGACTAAGTAAAGTCTCTTAAGATAATAATTTTGACTTTATAAAGCATGCAGTGTTTATGGAGCTCAACAGCTGACTAAAGAACATGGTATGTGAAGTAACCTATGTGTGAACCTGATAATACTTTCATTTTTCTCTCAGAGGTGCAGGGTGTGCTGCTGGGGGACCTGCTGGTGCTCCTACAGAAACAGGATGACAAAGTGGCCCTCAAATGTCAAAGCAAAAGTAACATTGCTGTGCAGGAGGGCAAACAGATGCTGAGCCCCATTATAAAGCTGGACTCCGTTTTTCTCCGCGATGTGGCAACAGGTTAGCGACACAGGGCTGTGCAGTAGATTAACAGGCAAATTTAGGTCACTGTTATTGTCTGATCAAACTAATTTCCTCTTCCACTCACTCAGATCGAAAGGCTTTCTACCTGATATTCACCTGGGAAAGTGGTGCTCAGATCTATGAGCTAGTAGCTTCGTCTCTCGGGGAGAAGAAGGCGTGAGTGTCCAAAACTGTTGGGCAAAAGCTGTAAGTCAATGAACTGTAACTTCATTTCTGTGTATATTTCCAGCTGGACTGAGGTGTTGAAGTCAACTTTAGAAGAGCTGAAGAAGAGCGGACCATCCAGCATGTTGACTGTGCCTCCCGGGGGTGGAGGAGCTCCTTTAAGTCCTACCACGTACGTGTTTTTATTTATTTTGTCTAAAGCAACGGTCTAGCCTTTACCTGCCAAAGTTCACCATCTCATAAAATTGACGTTTCTCTTCTTGTTTCCCCTCCGTCAGCCTGACCGCCCCCTTGATCCCAACTGAGAATGGAAGTTTAAAAAGCGGCAGTGGTGAGTGCACAACACTAAATAAGCTTTACTGATAAGACTTTACGGCACATTTCTAAAGACATGAGATGAAGCTGAGCCCTGTCTCCCTCTGCAGATCACGACAGGGACAGCTTGGCAGATGACAAGTCCGATCACAGGCACAGGCTGATGAATTTCCTGACAGAGAAAGGCCTTGGTGTGTTAAGCCACTCCAATAGCAATCAGGAGAAGGTGGCCAACAACGCTCTGCATGAAGGTGATTACTTCACTTTTTTTATGACTTGAGTGGAATTTATTCTTATTTTTTGGTCTTCTCTTCTAGATTTGACTTAAATAACTCTCCAAAAACATTTTTTTTTAGTGATGTCACTGAAAAGGTTGTTAATCGGCAGCATCAGTCTGTCAGAAGACTCGCAGCCAGTTGAAGAAGTTGAAGAGGAGCAATCAACGGAAGGCTCTCAGTCAACAGGTAGACTGGATTTCATGCATGCAGGCAAAATGATTTGTGGACTGACGGTAAACAGGAACTTCTGAAGCTCAGATAATGATCACCTCTATTTTCTGTAATGTTTTGGTTCCCACATCTTAATTGTTTTTGTTGCACAGGAGAAGGTGAGGCCACAGACATGGGTTATTTGGAGGTGAATACCAACATGTGTGAAAGAGAAGGTGCAGAGTCAAAAGACAATGAAGATAGGAACATCAGTGCACCCCTGGTGCTGTCCCAGGAGAGGATGGACGAAGTGCGCCAGAGGCTGCACAGCCTGGAGGAACAACTAAAGAAACTACAGGTGAACGGAGAGGAGGGTGCATGAGAATATTGAGGGGAGAGCAGTTTGTATGACAGAGGCAGATAAAGATGGGAGACAAGAAAAGATTGGAGCCGAGTGGAAAGAGACGCATATCTGTCCATTTCAGTCATGATAACTTAAGTAAGGAGTGAGCAGTGGACAAAATAGGGCCAAATGGCACCGAAAAGAAACCAGAGAATAGAAAACCATTTAACCACTGCTGTTACTGCTTTGCTGAAAATTGCCTCGTGAAATTGGACTTGTCTAAAAACGGCTATTATGTCCGGCACTTGCAATGGGATGTGTCAGGGAAGCAGCGAGGGAGACAAAGGGTGAATGTTAAGAGGAGGAGGTTGAATTGCGTCTGTCTGTAAGTGAGTTTGTTCTCAATTCCCAGGCTGATATTGATTTTTCTGCATTGCAGGCTGTTGAAGAGGAGCATCACAAACTGCAGGAGACCCTTTCTGAGTTCTCTCTAGAAGAGGGTAACTTCTAGTAAGACGTCATTTTGCCACCTGCTGGCCACTGGGTGAGAACACTGCACTGAAGTTTCACAAATTAAGTCTTGTTCCAAGTTCCAAACATCTCCTTCATGTCAGAACCCAGCCTGAGGAGAAAAAAATGGCCTTACGTAAAAAGATTTATGTAGGTTTTTGATCTAATCAAACACTTTTGCATGATTTTATATA